AAATCTGATCCTAGTTTGAAGGTCTTCGGAGGATGTCTGGATGTCATCTTGGTGATGCTGGCTTTCCGCTCTCACGAGTGACGAGTTGGACGAAGATTAGCGCAGTACGAAATAAGACGCAATCAGAGGTCAGAGGGAAAACCGTTATCACACCCCTCTTGTGATATTATATATTGGGGTTTTCCTATTTTTGTTATTAAAGGAGAGTCTTAAGCTAATGCGTTTCTCTTGTCATAGTCACTTAAAAGTCATGTTCCTATGAATAAGAGGAGGAGGGAGAGAGAGAGAGAGAGAGAGAGAGAGAGAGAGAGAGAGAGAACAAAAGAGGGGAGGAGAACAAGAGAGGGGCCGAAGTGAATTAAGAACCACCATCGTTACCATGGTAGTTTATACCGTCCGTAATAACTAATTATCATCGTTATGACAAGAAGCAACCATTATTCCTCTTCCTATTATTCGTAAAACCACCCTTTACCATAGATTGACTGATTTTTACATTTCTTCTAAAGTTTTTTTCCTTACTCTTTTATATAGTAATCTCGTCTTTCCTCGTCCGCCTCATCCTGTCCTTCCATAGTTTCAGAAGTTAAGCCATCACGTTTTGCGCTCTTTCTGTTCCAAAATAACTTTTATTTCTAAAGCTCGAAGATACGGGAAGAACTGATTTTAAGATTTGACCCAGATTCCATTGTAGCTACCAAGAAATAATGAAAGTACTCGTAGAATTGTATCACAAACAAATTTAATGGGGAGTGGGGGGGGGGGGGGCGCAGCCGCCCCCCTTGAAACCCATTTGCCACAACATTCTTTCCGAAAATCGAGTTATCCCCTCCCTCTTATTTTTGTTGTTGCTTGTCAGAGAATTTCATGTTAAACGGCACCGACAATTTCTGATATTTTTCATTTCAACACATTGTACAAACCTTATCACTGCTTGGTCTCCCATTTCCCCGGCTGTCGTTTGATTTAACATGCTTCACACATTCATACTTTTGGGGCGGGTAGGTAACAATGTAACAATGTCTTCCGCTAAGAACCCAGTGACATTTTCTTTAGGTTTTAGTCATGTCTCCTCTCCCAATAACTTTCAACGCGTCTCAGACTAACACAAATAGCTTGTCTGACATTGCCCTGGGACACAGACAATCAAAATAACAAAAGATGATGTAATCAAGTGCGTGTTTTGTTCTGTTTTTCGGTCAAATTGATTATGCTGGAAAGTTCATTTTTGAGTCATTTTCGATTGCAAAATTAAATCAGAAAGAAGTTATCGAATCTTCATTATGCATAATGTTTTAGGAGAGCAATATGAAAATGAAATTTATTTGGTAATTCAATAGAAAATGTAATCTATTTATTAACCAGAAAAAGAGAATGAAGTGAAAAACATGTTTTCAAACTTCCCAATGCACTTCACATCCCATATTAAAGCACTTTAAGTATTTCAGAGAAGCATGCATGTACGAGTGATGTTTTCTGGAATTGACGGGAAGCCTGCTCAGTAGATGGCGCTCTTCAATGAATGTTGGCACAGTAGTTTTTATTTCTTTAAGGTAACGATATTTTATGAGGTTTCATCAGAGTAACGTTTCATGAGGTAACAACAAGATGTTCTTCATGCACATAATAATATTTTGCGTTTACTTTAACGGTCTCCAATGTTGTGAAATGATAATGTGCATGGTACCAAAACAAACTGGCCCTTAATATAAGTCGTAGTGACGTATAGGCCCTATGGAATTGATTAATATATTATCACGAACTGTACGAACCAAAAAAGAAAAGAAAAACAGGAACAGCAACGCGTTACTAATTTACATGTAAAGGTGAATATGACATAGATTTATCATCCCCTATGATTTATCATTCCACCATCACGTGCGTCATTTTTTAAAAACAAAGTCATTCAAATTGATTAATGCGTTTTGATAAAATAGCTTTCTCTTTTAACCATTTTCCTATACTCCAGGAAATCGACATGACAACATGAGAAACGTGGGCCAATGGCACAACAAAATTCCCCGGTGTAGATAATCAAGTTCTTGCCGGTATAACGTTACGTACCAAATATCATGTACCGAACATTTGTCATCATAAAACGAGTTTATGGATGTCAGAGGGTGAATTCAACCCTGATTTCGAGTTTTGGCACGATATCCCTCCCTTCCGTCCTCCTATCAACATTTGTAAACAAGCCCTCTGAGAATACTTTCACGTAGCCATCCATGACTGTGGCCTATCTCATCTGGAATTCCATCCCATTATTTACCGATTGTCATCCTGTAAAGAGAGACAGAGATGATACGCCTTCTTGGCCCGAGTGTCAATTCTCGTAGATCGCGAGAGCCTTGAGATCTCGTCACAGGTTCAAGGTTTTAAAGTGGGCGTAACCCGACATATTTCGCGGAGAAGTTGTGGAAGGATTTTGGCGCGCGATGAGGAACGTGACACCTCCATTCTATCTTGTTCAGTTGAAATCATGATTTCGTCATCTTTACATTAAAGAGGTTTCCTGCGTTGTTCAAGGTGTTGATTTTCCTCTTGTTAACCATTGGTGTAGCTGCAGGGGCATGGGACTAGTTCCCCAGCAAAACGATGACAAGAAAGGAAAAGGACGAGCAAAATAGAGAGAAAACGAAGAGGGAAAAGGTAGCATGAACAAACAAAACAGACGTTACGACCTCTTCCACATATAATTGAATGTCATTGTTATCAACAAAGTTGTATTTTTGTAATTCAAATATTTTTTGTTTGATTCACTATCAATCAAAACATGCAACCTGTAGAAGGGGAGAATGTATCAAAAGGGAATGTAAAACAACTTTCAATATACAGACCATTTCGAAGATGTGTGCATGAAAGTGCGTCCTGTCCTTATTCTGTTTCAACGAGTTGCATACCTCAAAACCCACGCAGATAAAGACAACTGTTTCTTCTAATTTCCAGGGTTTATTGATACCTTACCCAACTATTATGACAGGATCAATATGGGTGAAGGATCGCTTCTCGTGGTTATAGATCTTCAAATTGGTATGGTCATGGAACAAGAATGCGAATCATTTTCCTCGTTCAACAAACAAACACAAAATCATTTTGCGACAGGGGACAAATGAAATATTGTACTTTGTGAGGCGTAGATTCATGATGAGTAAAAAACGCCCGTCGTAATCTTGTTGAATATAAAAGATATGGTTTGAACCCTATTATTAAACTTTTTTCAATCAGTTGCAGCAATTGTACAAGCTACTACTTGTTCAGAATTAGTTCCAAGGGTGAGAATGTAAAAGAAAGCAAACGAAATCAACTAAACAACTAACCAACCAACAAAACAAACACCGAAAAACAACAACTGCTAAAAAAGAGAGCCTATATTATATAGAGCTATGTATCGAGGCAAAGATAATCACTAATGAGACAACATTGAACCAACTAAATCGTGTGAAGATCAACATCAGGAGAATAATCCGTTTACAAAAAATCATGAAATAAAATTCAAGATAAATTCGGCACATTTGTATATCTAATTGAAACGTTCATGAGTCAAATGACTTATCAATTAGGACTTTCAGAACGATGATGGTGGCAGAGAAGTAGTTGATTTGAAGAGAATTGAGAGAAAGAAGGCAGAACAAAAGATTGTTTCGATGCTCATCATGATTGTCAGCTCATTGAGGGTTGCAAATTATTGCATAGTTTTGTAACCTCTGAGTGATCTCGAATTCCATCGGGAAAACGAATGGTTCTCTCGGCGATATGTGAATAATCAACGAGTTTTAAGAAACTGTATCGACATATATTTCTTTTACAATATAAGCAGACCTGTCTTTGCACAGAAAGAAATATGTCGCCGGCGTCGAAATCGTATCACCCAAATTCGAATAATCAAACGGTAAGCGTTTACATTACTTTTTTGAATACAAATTATCGACTTTCAACTATGTCCTTGTGAACTTTTTTTTCTTTATCTGTCATTTAATTTTCAATTCCAGATGTAAACGAGTGTGCCCAACGACCTTGCCAGCATCGGTGCATGAACGTCCCCGGTAGTTATCGCTGCTATTGCGAGGCTGGGAATACCCTACTCGCGGATAACAGGACGTGTATAGGTAGGTGGTCTCTGCTCTTTCTTCAATGAGAAAGGTGTCAATGTGAACATGAATTAACATAAGCAACACTTTAGAGACGTCTTTGAATATACAATAGTATTTAAAGATCTTAAATATCATACATTTACCACTTGGAAAATCATTTCGTATCGTATCGCTTCTCCTTCCTAATGTGCGGTTAAATACTGTCCCGTCTAATTTCGTAGCATCATCCTATTTTGAAATACTAATTTGTTATGTTTATTCATATTAATGGCGGTTACATAACCTAGTTTACATCTGATACTTAGTTGACATAAAAATGTCAATTTTTTCGCCAGGTTTATAAAAATAGGCCTCCATGTATATGTAGCACCTTTCGTTAGAATATTGATGAATGCAAGTGTAAGAATTTTTTTTCTTCATTGGTATGATAATAGGCCATTTGAGTAATGTGACAACACTTTCATAAATGCCTATGACTTTATGAAGTGCCTCTGTGATACGAATTATTTGATTAACTTGTTCCGAACAATCAAATTTAAGTAGTCAGCATGCAAATCGCCGCGTACATTACTTATTTTGAGACATGACAGGTCATAATGTTTGTCTGACCTAGCAACGACTGGTGTATGTAATTTGCATTCTGACTATTGAGACACAATCAAATGGATCAGGTGGATGTAATAGATAGTGAAACACGTATAAATTTGAATACATTTTGAAAATGGATACATTCAAGTTTTTAGTAAAAGAAAATTCATTTCGCGTTACATGATTGGGGAGTATGAGACGAATCTGCCCAAACGCATTGCACGATTGCCATGTCTGTATATAAGGAATTTATCGAATTTCAGATGGTCATTTACCTTAAAAGGGCTTTCGTTTTGGACATTCTTTTTGAAGTATACTGTACAACCTGTATGTTTATTTCATTGTACAGCTGATCATTCCTGCAGTGCAAGTCGTTGTGTATATGGATGTCAGCGTTACGATCACTACAAAACTAGGTGTCTCTGTCCAGCCGGCATGCGAGTTGCAGCAGATGGCTACAACTGCGAAGGTACGTTTGTATTCACAGCAAATACTTGTAATAACCTAGGAATAACCAAGAGAATATAAGAACTAATTAGTAAAGAAATCTGAAGAGAAAGTTAGTCGTAAAGGAAATCGCTATGTTTATTTTTTTTATTACAATATTGGTACATTGAATTTCACATGTACATAGTTATGTAATTCTCATGTTGGCGTATTCGCCTCACATGAAAAGTAATAACGATGAAGGAAATTAACAAGGTAGTAAATTTATGAAACATTAAAGATTTTTTTTTTATGTTCTTGGTACTTGAATTTTTCAAGTGACAGTACTTTTTTTTAATGCTAGCGTATTTGCTTCACATGTTCCGATTTTTTTTTATGTTGAAATATTAACAAGCATTTGATAAAGCTGAATTTGAATTATACAACTGCTATCTTCTAGGAAGCTATCAAAATATAATATGCAACTATATGTGTCTGTATTTCCGTTCACTGATCATTTCGATTTCACCACTGAGTTTAAGAGAATTGAAATTATCGTACTTATCATTCATTATACTACGATGTTTTTTTTATTTAATCAAGAGTAGAGGGACTTTTCTCGGAGCTTTGGAGAGAAAAACCATTTATGAATGCCTCAGATTTAAAAAGAAGAACAAGATTCTTACATTGTCTAAGCAGATTGTGCCCTGGGTGCAGAAACCTCTGGCTACTTACGTTCGAAGGTTTTATTAATATATTCTGCTTTCTTTCAGATATCAACGAATGCACAGAGGGCCTGGTTTCATGCGGGAGAGACAGACGATGTAAAAACACATACGGGGATTTCATGTGTATCTGTCGCCATGGATACCGATTCAACTATGTCAATGGAAAGTTAAAATGCGTGGGTAAGTATTTGTTACAACAGAAGTAGAAATATAGTTACCTTGTTATTTTTAATAGTCATAGTGAGATGTTGGTTTTATATTGTTCATTTAGGTGTTGATATTACCAACTTGTTACTGCTTTGACACATTTTAGGCTGGCATCAAATATAAGTGGAGGGTACAGAGTAGTTTGTCGTTAATAACAACATGATTTTACAGCGATTATAATGCAGTAGCTTCACGTAATTAATGTGTCCTCAGGGTGCAATGAAGGAAATGAAGAAAATGAAAATGTACAAACAATGGAACAACTTACAACATTAAATTTCTTTGGAAATTATAAACAAAAGAGTTTCAGTGCAATTTAAATATATTATCTACCCCTTGATATCTTGAACATTTTGTGGCAATAGACTTTTACATTTAAAAAAGGTTGAGGTTTTGAAGAGTATTCCGGATCTTGTCATACTTGAATAATGAAATCGTTTAGTTAATTATTGAACAGATCAGTGATGAGACAAGTATTAAAGGTTGTCATTCGATATAATGGCAGAGCCTATACATATAAATACATCTTATCTTTAATAATGCAACATTCAAAACATTTTGTCTCATCTCAGGCAAACTAAGCAATGATTTCGATGGCCCTATACTATCCCCTATTTTGTTCATCATTATTTGTATCCATTGCCCCTTCCCCAGCTGAAGATATTTGTAACAGTGGAGACCATGAGTGTCACCGGCACGCCACCTGCGCCCTGACGAACTCCAAGGACGGAGGCTACAAGTGTACCTGTAAAATGGGTTTTATCGGTGATGGCAATAACTGCATCCGGTTACGTAAGTTTCCTTATTTTCTTTAACTCATCGTTGAGTTTTAGCTTGATCTAATTAAACTCGAGTTTAACCAAGGATAGTTGACCGACTTCTCGCGTCGAGTTTAAGTGAATTCGTAAATTATGGGAAATCGAGTTCTGAAGTTTGATTACACATTTTGTACGTTGTCAAGCTTGATGATTTAAACAATTAGACCCGTTTTCAAATGTATTTTAAAGTATGGTTGCTTCTTTCCCCAAGTGCCTCTGGTAAAGAACTAGTGCAATCATACAGTTATGTAAAAAAAAAAAAAAAAAAAAAAAGATTATGCACCAGTAGTTTATGTTGATGCAGAATGGATACAATATATGTTGCTATGTCCCCCAAAACCTCGGACAAACCTTTGTGTCATCATGAAAGACCATTGTAGAAATTATATTTGTGAGGTTTGAATCTATTTTTGAATTGGTTATTACTGCGTCCATCGAGTTTAAAATCATGATCAGTTCGTTGTCGACTGAAGCATTTGGACTAATGTTTGATTGTGACGTCATTTCGTCACCACGTCGGTACACAATGTAACGCTAACAGTCATTCTTCATATTAGAGATCCAATAGAAAGACTTGTGTACCAAGGTGTGTGCAAAGTTTCAATGCTTCTCTTTCTCGCATTACTTCCGTCACAACAACTGAACATTGTGCATCAGTGCTACTTCCTAAACAATAAATTATTTTATCAGCCACAAAGCAAGCTGTCATATTTTTAAAGTAATTTCCTTGCCAAAAAAGGGGGCACTTAAAATATTAATAACAATAATACCACTTGAGATGTTGGTGCGGTTCGTATCTAATATGTCTATAGTAGAAGACACTCCTATCTTTATATGATGATGTCACTGTCTTCTCTTCTTTAATTATTTCGTCTTTAGCAACATTAACATAGATTGTATGAAACTGGTCGACATTATACACACGGTTCATTGCCATAGAAACGAAGTGGTGTGCATGGTTATACATTTTCGCATCTTATTCGTTCTTTACTTTTAACTATGATATTCTAATGTTCATTTTGGCAGATCCACACACATGTGAGAACCATCCCTGTTTCGAGGGAGTGGCATGTACAGATCTCAACATCCTTCCCAGCACGCAGCTTATGGTGTTCCCCGAGAGTGGAGTGATCTACAAGTATGAATGCGGCCGGTGCCCACCTACACATTACGGCAATGGAGAATCATGTACACGTAAGTCTTCAGTATGAATGCAGCACGAGTAATTAATATGAACATGCGTGGTTGTGTAATGACAGATTGGATATTGTCTTGATATTCAACTACATAACACCAGAAGAAGAAAAAAAGAACAAAACTATCTTCGATATATGGTAAGTTTTCACAGAAACAGTATCCGTAGGTCTGTAGGAGTGTGCTGGTTAGCATTATGGTTAGAATTGTGGATCACAAGGTCCGCGGTTCAAGTCCCGCCGCAGCACTAATGTCCTTTGGCAAGACATTGATCTACATTTGCCACTCTCCACCCAGGTGTTAAATGGGTACCGGGTAGGATGCGAAAGCTAATGTGGTTAGATTAGCAAATGTGCGCTTGTAAGAATGACGCCTGGCTGGAATGCTCCCCAGGGAGTGGAGAATGTGCATACATTGTTTGCGGGTAAGCCTGAATCCAATGACCGGGGTAATAATATACTTATCTGTAAAGCGCTTTGAGAGGGCCTCTGGTCCTGAAAAGCGCTATATAAGAACGAGCTATTATTATTATTATTATTATTAGTTCACTATCTAATAAAAAAAAAGGTGATTTGATTTGGTTTGGAGTCCGAGACATCCATCTATGTCATCTACCCTATCATGCTTGTTTGATGTGTATAAGGTTTTTCTTCCTTATTGAAAGGATGTAATTTTTTGCATTGATGATTTTTTGTCATGGACCCACGTGGGTCATGTTGGTGTTCATTGAAAGTTTCATTCACCTTTAATTTTTGGTTTTTCCCCGAACAGCGTTCCCAACATCGCCACCACCTACCACAACAATACCCACAACAACGCCACCCCCGACAACGACAGTCGCAACAACAACTCCCGAGCCAACCACTACACCTGAACCAACGACAACACATGCACCCACGACCACACCGGAACCTACAACAACACCGGAACCGACAACAACACCGGAACCGACAACGACTCCCGCGCCAACCACTACACCCGAACCTACAACAACACCAGAGCCTACAACTACACCAGAACCGACAACGACTCCCACGCCTACAACTACACCAGAACCTACCACAACACCAGAGCCTACAACTACGCCAGAACCAACGACAACACCAGCGCCAACCACAACACCAGAGCCAACCACAACGCCAGAGCCAACCACAACTCCAGAGCCAACCACAACGCCAGAACCAACAACAACACCTCAACCTACCACAATCATACCCACATCTCCTCCTACCACCCCGGTGCCAACCGGTCTTACTGTGTTGACCATGGACGGTTCGGCCCAACAGGCTCTGCTCCCTGACGTCCAGGTTCGAATAATCAGACCGACCGTCCAGGACTGGCCGGTGACGACGTCAAACTCGTCGACCACCGATGACGGTCTCGTGTGGATGGACATCCCCGAAGGAGAACCCATCATCGTGGTCGCTTCCAAGAAAGGATACATGGAGACGTCCTCAACATACCGCTTCCAACCAGGAGAAAGTGAGTAAGATTGGTTAGTGCTACGGTATTGCAGCATTAATTTGCAGCGACCACATGTCTAGTTATTACTGTACATGGTGCCTCTGGCATAAATAGCCGTGATTAAATGAAACATCTAGGAATTAAACACACTTCATAAAGACGAAAATGTGATCGTTTCAAGATCAAAATTTTGCATCTTTTAGTTTCCCTTATGATTACAACGTATCTCTTGCGCCCATTACCTGCCCGTGGTGTCAAAGTGGGAACTAATGCAAGAAGAATATACATATTCATTCCAAGGACATAGCTATTGAAAGCAAGAACATGAAACAGCTGTAGGTGAATGCGATGAAAATTGAAGTCAACATTTTCTTGTAGAATAATTCTAAAGAACTCTCCATTACCCTTTTATGTTTCAGAAAACGTTTTGCCGATGCTGGTTCACAGGCATCCACTGAGGAAGGAGTTTGTCTGGATGTCTGGGATGGATCGCCTTGTAGAGTTCAGACCTAACAACGTTGGAATACCATACAGTGTCGAGATTCCAGCAGGTAAAACAAACAAAAGGCAACCTGGAACCCGTTTCACGAAGCCTTTTTTTCAATGACAAATGACAAAAATCAGTGACAAAACTGCTGATAACCAATCAAAAGCAAGGATTTCAATAGCTTATAACAAAAACTTGTCATTTGTCACTGATGACAATTGTGGTTAAACGCCCCTTGATTTCATTAATAATGGTCATAAGGATACAAAAACACGATCGAAGAGACTCTCTTAAACAAACTCAAGGCGTTTTCAGCAACCTTGTGCATCTCATATTTAATTCTGCTAACATGGAAATGACATTACGTAATCTGAACATGAAGTCTATAGAAAATGCAATAGGATATAAATGAAATCGCACTGCAGTTTATTTTTGAGAGCCTTGCGTTCATGTTCAAGGTAGATGAGCGATGAACAACATTATTTTAGTTGTTGAGATGATTATATGTAAACTTGGACTTCTGACTTGAAGTCTTATCCCAGGAAAATGCCTTACAAAAGAATGCTACGGTGCACTGACCTGGGCCCCGTTTCACAAAACTTGTCATCAGTGAAAAATGACAGTTTTTGTTATAAGCTACTGAAATACTTGCTTCTGATTGGTTATCAGCAGATTTGTCACCGATTTTTTGTTGTTGTCATTTTCATTGGAAAAAGGCTTTGTGAAACGGGTCCCTGGGCCCGGTCTACAAAGAATTGATTTGCTCCAGATTTATCACAGGCCCTCCAAACATTGTAATATTACAAACTCATATCTCTTTACTACAGAGTTGCGATTGATATCCAACAAGTCGCGACCAGTCGCAGAAATAATAGGACGGAACCCAGGTCTCCTCAAAACCGAGTTAACCTGTTTTAAGCACTATCGCTTGATCATTTCAATTGAAGCCATACATAATGAAAAGACACGCAGTACATTCGTGGCAGGGTCAAATGTTAAAACTTTAAACAAAATGATTCGATAACACTCACATAATGCTTGCCAGATCTTGAACGAAGATATGTATGATAAATAAAGTAAACTGATTAAAGAATACTCGTTTCAGATCCAAACCATGCCGAATCTTTGTCCGGTACTATGGCTAAGTTGAGTGATTATGCCGGTCATGTGTTTCAGGCAATTATGTTTCCAGGTCCTTCCTGCGGACGTTATAAACTAGTTTACACTCGACTCGAAGTTGCTACTTGTGCGATTTCTGTCTCCACCTTAATCAGCAATCAAGACCGACTTTAATAGAAAAGATTGGAGCCAGAAATCAGATCCGGTCTAACCTCATATCAACCACACTAAACATGTCTCAAGACCCACGTAGTAACGTATAGGGTTCATCTCAAATGTTTTCGTTCGTAGCTTCCTCATTAATGTTCCCGATGTCACTCATATGCAAGCCAAAATGACTGGTCAGCTGTCAGCACATTGGCAAATTGACAGTTTAACCATTTTCAAACTTTGAAACATAATTGATCAATACACTGACTAATACCAATTTTTGTGTTCATTCCAATTTTAGGTAGTCTGGATATCCCTGAGGAAAGTATCTTTGAGGTGAGGTTTTCGGGTGTGAACACGAGTAATCCATTGGAATTAAAAGAGGTGCCTGAGCTGATTGGTGCAGTAGAATCTGCAGACGGTAAGTACAATTTTCAAGAAATTATTACGTAACGTTCTTACGACGTGATATTCGTGTAACGATACCTTGACGTAGATGGATTTAGCTGTAGAATAACAGCACGGCTATCACATTAATATTTACAACTACAATTATAGGAGCTCGACGAATTCCCTTCTTTAGTTCTCAAATATTGATCACATATTGTAAAGATAAGATACCAATCTGCAATTTTTGCACTGTTAAAGTGGTTTATGTCAGAGAATTCAAAAGAAGATGGGTTAAGGATACGTGTTAATGTTCGATAAGCAACACATATTTACCATTTTGTTTTACACTTCAGGAATTAAATTAACCGGACTAGAGGCCTTTTCGATGGCCGAAGTGACGGTGGTCAACACGGAGACCAATGATCTTGTCGACGTCATGCTGCCATTCGAAGCCGAATTCCCTCTAAATAGAAAACCTTAAAAATATTGATCACATGTTGTAAAGATAAGAAACTAATTTGCAATTTTTGCAAAACTATGTTTTTCATGCCACGGGAACTAAATTGTTTATGTCAGAGAATTCAGAAGATGAAGGGTTAAGGAATACGTGTTAATGTTCCATAAGCAACACATATTTTCGATTTTGTTTTACAGGAATTAAATTGACCGGACTAGAGGCCTTTTCGATGGCCGAAGTGACGGTAGTCAACACGGAGACCAATGATCTTGTCGACGTCATGCTGCCATTTGAAGCCGAGTTCCCTCTCAATAGAAAACCACGAGGTGCTCGTCATGGAACTCGAATCCCCGCCTGGTACTTCGATAAGGCGACAGGTAAAGATTGAGAAAAAATCTTCCTCTAGCATGACCAAAAATGCATACGAATACTAGCTCTTCTGAATATGTATCAGGTTTGTTTATTTTGTGGTACCTTTTTTGCTTGATCAAATGCATTTCTAGGCCCCTTTTAACCGGTCCCAGGGGCCACGTACAGCAAAGGGGCAACAACAGACGTCCATATTTAGATATATTAGGTTTCTTCCTGAATGTTCCAATAGTTCGTTTGACCAAAGTGCAATGGGATACCGAGCTATTCCGACAAATAACGCACAATCCCTTTAGAGCTTTTAGTATTTGGTTTGGAATCATCAACGGCTTTCCTCAAAAGCACTGTAAAAAAATTGTAATGTATTTGTATGTCTTCTACTTACTCTGCAGGCGTGTGGAAAAAAAGTGGTATTGGTAAAGTGAAACGGAATCAACACGGGGAGCTTGTGTGGAGCTTTCAGGCAAGACATTTCACTTGGTGGAGTGCCATGCAGCCCTGGCCAGAGACATCCTGTATTATCATCAGAACGTGCTACGACAAGAAATGCAAACGGATCGCCAGTTACGTCCCTGTTGAGTAAGTGAACTCTCCAGCTTGTTTAGACAGTTCAAACACCAAGATCCCCCTTCTTAAGCTACAGTCCCATATACGTCCCGGACCGTCCCGGACCATCCCGGACCCCATCCGGGGTGATCCGGGATTCGGTCCGTGTTGACACCGTGTTGGCACCGGGGTGGTCCTGGATGGTCCTGGATGGTCCTGGATGGTCCTGGATGGTCCTGGATGGTCCTGGGCGGTCAATAACTCACTCCCGGACTGCCACGGATCAACACGGACCGCCCCGGCGCCACTACGGATGACCCCGGACCCAGCACGGTGGCTACACGGATCACCCCGGATCAAACTATTGTCCCGGACCGTCCCGGACCACCCCGGCAGTTTTTGACCGTCAAAAACATCCGGGGTCGACTCCCGGACCGCCCAGGACCATCCAGGACCATCCAGGACCATCCAGGACCACCCAGGACCACCCTGGTGCCAACACGGTGTCAACACGGACCGAATCCCGGATCACCCCGGATGGGGTCCGGGATGGTCCGGGACGGTCCGGGACGTATATGGGACTGTAGCTTTACAGAAATACACAAATCATGAGCAATTGCTAGGTACATTCTTCAACAATTGCTCTGGGGGAATTTGGAACGAGTGACGGTTACCTAGTCCAGAGGTTTCCACGCTCGAATGTTTTCATCTTCCAAACTAATTTGAGCCAGAGGCCTTCGAGGTTGTATTATAATGGTCCTTCCGACAACTAGTCAGTAGGTATACAAGAACGAAAATCTTCAATCTTGAGGACACTTGGTCTCACGAACCTTCGAAACCGTGTACCTTGATTAATATTTGGTTCCTTCAACTATCCGATTTCCTAGCCTACCATCCCAAAACGATATCTACCCCGACAATTGTCCTTTTGAAATGTTTATCTTCCAGATAAAAAAAATGTTCTTGGTAGTTTATAGTACATTTTGTGTACACAAGTTTTATTATTGCCAGCTCTTTTAAACGAAGGATTCGCTTTTTCTTATTTCCAGAGTGAACGGTCTTGATTTCTCCTTTTCGTCCTCGAGTGTGACCAGTGCCGAAGGACGGACGTGCGCCCAGTTTAAGATGGGCGGTCAGGTCAGGGTTTCGTCGCCCTGCTCCAAGAAGCCCAAGTTTAGGACAGGCACCCCCGGTGGCCCCTCGTATTGCCCAGCCGAGTATGATACGCAGGTCCTGAGACCGTCCGAAGGGACCGTGACACAGGAGTGTGAAGAGGTCACTATTGTAGTCAGAGGTAAGCTAATCCTCTCATTCTTATGATTCCGCATCCATAGGATTATACAGCTTCTTATCAGGAGGGTGTGCTTCAGGCCTATTATGCCTATACCATATATCAAGGCTTAAAGTAATGTTATTTCATCGTTATTTTTCCATGTGGCATTGAACATGCTGAAGATAGAGAAATATTTTACGTATTAATAACCAGATATATTGGTCATCTGGCCTTAAGATGACTCCTCTTATTTGACTCCTCTAAAATATGCCCAGTAGTCAGTTTAGTTGGAAGATAGTCATGCTAACGCTCCATCCTTCCGTCCTCCCAAACAGATGTAAGGTTGACACACTGTAACGAGCCGGACATCCCTCGCTTCGCGAAGACGTATTCCTCAGACTACAGGATCGGTGGCATGGTATCCTTCGAGTGCACGGGTGGCTACCAACTGGTTGGCGAGTCGCAGAGGGCGTGCTTACCTTGCGGTAGATGGAGCGGTAAAAACCCGGTCTGCAGACGGTCGACCGAAGAGTACACATACGAAGTCCTTAGCACGAACTATGACCCTGCGCGGGGGGTCGCCAGTAGCGTTTTTATTCGAAACCGAGGAAGCAGCAGTAGCAGTATGTATTATTCGAAACCATCGATTTGATCTTGGCTTCATAACGACCTGACTGGATTGCGATATTTCTGTTTGTTTTTCCTGTTTTATTTATTTCAAAACATATCAGTTCGTGACGATTCGACTGCGCTAAGCACATCGATGTCACCATTTATAAACAGAACTGTGATGTCGAAGGTGACACAAAATAGTGTAAGCTATTCTTTGATGTGTAGGCTATGAGGATTCGAGTGGTGGGGACATCGCAATGAAAAGAATTAACGGACGCTAGATGTAAGTGTTGTTTCGCGCTGAATCGAAAAACCCTGTTCAAGAATCTTTGATATTGACATGACTCCGTGGAGAGTGATGTTTCCAGATGTATTTGTATCATCTTGATATCGTCGAAGACAGTTCTTCCTCTGTATATTCGCTGGCTGCCTTGTCATGGACAACAACTGTGTGCTTGATTTGATGACGCAAATTCGGTTGGAACACGTATTATAAAGAACCTGACAATACACACCGAAGATGTGCGACGATCTTAATATTGGAAGGGCAGACTAATGTTAGAACCATTATCTGGTTACCAAAGCGTATTTGATGGAAAACGAAATAGTGGATAGTATGGAAAAAAAGCTGTGCATCTTTTGATTTCAAAACATTTACAGTGGTTGTAACATTTGTTTTTCAGACTTACATATTACCTCTGACAAAAAAAGCTGTCACCAGACGTTTCTTGATTGTATGAGTGTGTTTATTAGTTGATGACGTTCTGTGCATGCCTAAAATGGTGCTTATTTTATACTGCAAAGCCAAGTATTACTATTCTATATACATTCATGTATATTGTGAAATAGACGGACTAGTCTATTAGGTTTAACATTATTATTATTATACAAAATATGTACCCTGTAGCTGCAGTAGTTTTGTAAATTAGTGACCCTTCCAATTCACCTGACACACAAGTTTATTTCCTTTCGTTATATCTTTCACGTTGTCAGTCTGTCTATTCTGGTCTATAATATCTCTTCGAAAGTCTTTACAAGTCCCGTTTGTCCCCTCTTTCTATCTTTTCCAATGTAGTTTTTTTTATGGCTGAAATTAGTATCATATTCTATCCTTAATAATATCAATACAACTGATGGGGAATTTCTCCTCGTTTGGGGGAAATTATATGGTATTTAAAGAAATGTTGCATTTTGTAAATATTGAAATTGCAACGTGGTGTAATATATATATATCTTGCCTGTTTGTCATGATTATAATCTGATGGATGGACTTCTGTGATGATAAAGATGTTGATAAAGTGTTACTGAAATTGAATTATTTTAAATTTTACAAAGTGTTAAATATAAATATAATGTATGTTTTGTGTGAAACTTGTGTATAAGAGTACTCGTAAGTGCATGCTAGGAAATTAAAAAAAAAAATGCTTCTGATATGGCTATTATCGTGAGAATGGCTAACCATGAAGAAAATAATGATTATGATATATCGTCAATATTTTTGTCATTTGATCATTCTGATTTACCAATGTGTCTTAACAAAATTTCATATTTTAAACATATTGCTAAATAATCAATTCTTATAATTAACCATACTTGTCATTTTAAGAAATCATGTTCAGAATCGGTGTATCTGGTTATATTTTCTATTGGTATTCCTTGTGTTGATTTGTAGTACCTCAGTAAAACCATAGAGACCGAAACCAGGGCCCGGTTGCACAAAACTTACCATTGATGGTAACTTTGCCATCAATGGTAACTACCATGGAAACCTTGATTGTGATTGGATGTTGAGCCCTGTAAACATGGTACTTGCCATTGATTGCAAAATTACCATCAATGGTAAGTTGTATGCAACGGGGCCCTGACCGACAAAGACAGAATAAAAATGATCACAATGGCCATTTACGACTGTGGTAAATGAAGGCATTTTGTGTGTAAAACAAAGTGGTAACTTAACAACTTGTATGATAGCAAGTTTATCAATAGACCCTGCAATTGATAATAAGTAGAAATTTAATTTATGCCATGCAGAGAGAAACAATGTCATTCTGTTTCCGCCTGTTTGGAATTGGTCATTACCTATTCAAAAATGAAGAGTTCAGATCCTTTGCGAGTTGTAAAGTATTTTTTGAGAAAACAATTATTTCGAATTCTCCTATTTTGCATATAATTATATCGATTTGAATACGATTTTTATTCACCTAAGTTTGCATTCGGCAGGTTCTACCTTCAAATTAGAGATTCGTATTACACGTTTATCCCCCCAAGTCATAAAATGCAAGCAGTGAATAATTATAATTCACTGGGTATGTATCGATTGTCAAGTCCATGATATTGTATCCTTTATGTCACCGAATACATCACGATTTAAGTATTTCAGAAAATAATGATTATGAATATGATGGCCTTATTAGAGTTTGGATCATTTCAATTCAATTCAATGTATTTATTGTCCACGTCGACGGAAATGTGTTATGTTGTCATGCATAAAACACATTGCATATAAGGTGATCCATATATTTTAAAGGCTCAAGAAAAAAAATACCAATGCTAATTGTAAGATTAAGGAAATGCGAGAGGGGAAAGAAAGAAATAAGGTTGTGATCTAGATATGAATTGTGCATTTATCAAATTGATAAGCAATTAAGTACATAGTAAGAATGCAATTCGAGTTTCGTAAAGTCGAATATCAAATATCTGGTATCGAATACAACATATGAGGTATACAATTTGTTTGTGTTCGATATTCGATGTTTGATATTTTATTTTTTACGAAACTCGATTTTCAGGTGATATCAAGGACAGTGACAGCTTCCATTATTTTTGGTAACGTATGGGATAGCAAACGACCAAATAACCTGGACTTGCCTTCGTCATAAATAAATGAATTCTGTAACAAATGCACTAGTGTCATTCATAATTTGGTATATTTTTGTTGTTGATATAATGATTTGTTTACCACTGTGTCACCCGTGTTACCATACATCTGACTGTAGATTAATTATGATGATGAAATGTTAATATGTTAATCGTGTGTTTAAACTGGAAATCTATGCAATGTCTTTTCAATTGTTTCTTTAAATAAATATTGTGATCAAAATGAAAAACAAGAAAGTCTTATTTTGTCCATTATTTCAAGAGGTTAAAGAGATCTAAAGCGAAAGAAGAGAACGTTGTTGCTACATTATTACCATATATACTATTAAATCAAATGCCGTTCGGAAACATTGCCCATTAGACGAAATTCATTCTACTGGAAGCTGTGATTAATAATCGCGAGTGATGACATATTTTTCTTCTTCTGATTGGCTAATGCTTGATAGTTGATTGCAGCTTATTATTGTTATCAAATTAGAACACAGATGTGTAATGATATTGTGTCATGCTTCCTCAGCTATATGCGGAACTCCGATAAAAACATTTACACAATTTTTTTTTTATATATCTGCCCTTCACAAAAGAACAGCAAAACAAAAAATGTGAATTTTCCTTATTACAAAAACATAACATATAAACAAAAATCATTACAGTTTAACAGAGCGAAGAGGATTTTTATAAAACGATGAGACTGAGGCTTAAAAATCCATTCTTTTTTAATTTTCCAAACGCTTCTTCCCAGTAGCAATGATGATTATATATTTAAATCTCCTTGCTTATACATCTTCATTTATTGATATGATAAGTTGAGTTCTTCTTCTTCTTCAGTTGTAGTACAGGCCACCGTCAGGTGTATTGTCGTACTGTGAGTTGAGTGAAATGATGTCATATTTTTTTGAAAGATATAGGTGCAGGGCAGATGAAAGGAAATGCATGGTTTTACATTCGTGCGATTGGATAGCCATTGGTAATAGTTTAATTCATGGTTATCTATTTTCAAAACAGCATGTCCAACATCAACACAACCTACAACAGCACTGGCGGTTGCAACAACCTCGCTGCCACCTTTGCAACATGCTACAGCAACGTCGACCACGAAATCACCTTTGAAACCAGCTAACATACATGGACTTACTACAAGTAATGAAACACAAACAACCAAAGAGCTTGCATTAACTCCGAAGCCCAGGGCGTCGACAACGGTAACTTCTCAACCTTTTTCTGCAATACTCACAACTCGTTCTATCACACCGGTTCCGATTTGGTTTAATTTGCTCATCATGGACAACTTGGCACAGGACGCTCTGCTGTCTGACGTCAAGGTTCGCAAAGTCCGACAAGCTGCTCAAGAGTGGCCTTTGACGACGATGAACTCGTTGCCCACACCTTTAGGACTTACCGTGTTGACCAGGGATGGTTCGGCCTTTGAAGTCCCATTGGCTGACGTGGAAATTCGGATTATAAGACTAACTGTCCAAGACGGGTCCGTGATGATCGCAAACTCGTCGACCGACGCGAATGGTACGATGTGGGCGGACATCGCGACAGCCGAACAGCTCATCATAGTCGCTTCCAAGAAGGGATACCTGGATACGTCATCGACTTACCGTTTCAAACCTGAAGAGAGTGAGTACAATTTTATTTGCAAAACTGGTTATTCAAACACCTCTTTATTACGTCATACAAAAAGGATGAGTATCACCTTTGTCATGATTAAGGGCATGATGTTTGTATTAATGATATCTTGATGCGGATCGATCATGTTGATACTATTAGAATATAGGAATACACTTTCACTGCATGACTAGGAAAAAGAATGAAAGAAATAAGTTGTACCAAGGGTGTTTGTAAACAGAAGAAGCAGAAGAAGCGTCTTCAGTGAAGATGACTTTATTCATTATTCATTATTCATTCATCATCTTGATATCTACAAACTATACAAAATCGACAATAAAATTTGCATCAGTTTAATATGAAGGGAGGGCAACAGCTTTTACGCTGGCAGATCGTGGCTAGTGAGCCCCAATAAACTAAACCGAAAAATAAAGTTTGATGATTTCCCTGTCTGTTCGTTTCAGGAAACATTCATACCATCTCGATGCAGAAGCACTCGATGAGGAAGGAGATCACTTGGATGTCGGGGCTTGATCGTCTGGTGGAGTTCAGGCCAAGATTTAAAGGCATTCCGTACAGTTTTGAAATTCCAGCAGGTAACGAAGTCATCAAATTCTTGGAAATTCCGTAGTGACGAAATTCTATAGCAAATCTAATGCGATTAAACAAAATGTTCCGTACCACACAAAATGAAATATGGCTCATATGCCAGTCGTAATGCAAAATGTCACACCGCTAGACATATTTGGTTAATACTCAGCAAGATTAGCTCGATATCCTAAGCAGTTTCGAGTAAAGTAGTAAACATAGTTGATCATAAGTAGCCAGTCACATAATTTAGACATTTCAACGTATTTCAACATATTTGTTTATGATGTTAAATGCAGGACATAATTAACGTACGCTCTATATTACTTCAGCATGATCATCTAGAAGCATAATCATCGAGGAGAAGTGGATATGAGAACACTTGTTAGAAATGGTTCAAGTTTGCTAACATCAGTTTAATATACCTTGGTAGCATAATTTTTGTTTGATGTTGGTTTGTTTAGTTTTTTGTTTGTTTTTGTTATATTGTTAGGCAGTCTTGATACTCCGGAGCAGAGCCGTGTTGAGTTTAAGTTCCAGGATGTAGATACGAGTAATCCATCCGAACTGAGGCAGGCTCCTGAGCTCATTGGAGCTGTAGACTCATCGGAAGGTAAGCAACACTTTCACCCGACACAGAGATGGACGTTATTGAAGGACAATGGTTTTCCTTAATTATCGAGATACGTACTGCAGCACTGAACAGACTGATGGGTCCTTTAAATAAATACAGCTTGATTATATAAGACATATTTTTTCTTTCTGGCAGAACTTTTTATGAATGCTTTTTTTAATGAATAATCGTTTGTTTTATGCCGATAACGATCTGTACAGTCATTTGTATATATATATATATATACATATATATGTATTATATATATCATCGCAGGGTAGTTGAGAGGAGTATCTTTTTAATATGAAAAGTTACACTTGTAATATAGAACGGGCTATTGTTGGGGGTTACTCAATGAATGATAATGCTGATTATGATAATAATGTTGATAACAATAATTATGACGATAAAGATATAAGAACTAAAATAATATTAATCATAATAGTAATAACAACAAATAAATACCCCCCGGGGGGGGGGGGTGTTAGTGATCCCGCCCTCAAATGTAGTGACCAATATAAATTGCTCTTCAACTTTAGGAACCACACTAATAGGCTTAGCAGTCTTCTCTATGGCTGAGCTGACAGTGGTCAATATGGACAACGAACAACCAGTCGATCTTATGCTGCCATTCGAAGCCGAGTTCCCTCTTAGCCGAAAACCCCGGGGTACTCGTCAAGGGAGTCGCATACCAGCGTGGTACTTTGATAAAACGACAGGTACGAAATCATTTTTCTTCAAAGAAGGTTGACTGATCCAAATACCAATCAATAACTAGCAAAAGTTGGAAGTTTTGAACTAAATTATGATGTCCCATGCGTGTGCAGACCCATATATCAACATCATTCAAGAATAATTGAGGACTTCTGTACTTTAAAAATGTTATAAAAACAACAACCTTTGCTTGTTTTGCAGGCGTTTGGAGGAAAGGAGGCGTTGGCAAAGTGAGACTTGATCGGTTTAAAGAGCCGGTGTGGAGCTTCGAGGCAAGGCATTTTACCTGGTGGGGTGCTATGCAGCCCTGGGCGTGAACCTCTTGCATCATCGTGAAGACGTGCTACGACCAGAAATGCCTACAAATCGCCAGCTTCACCCCCGTCGAGTAGGACAATCCTCTTTTTCTCTATTTAATAAGATTGTTGAAAGATTTAGAAGAGGAGAAGATGGAATTTCAGCCAATGTCTAGGCCCTAAGTATCATTAATCAAATGTTATTTACCATGATTACTTTGGAATAGTAACATTTCTACCTTATACGTCAAAAATGTTTAATAATTTATTCTTCTCTACCGATTAAGTATTAATGTCTGTTTGTGTGCCCACAATTGCACCTAGACACAATAGGGGAAGTTTAATCATACCGGTTCAGTTAGTCTTATTACATGGCAAAATGTGAAAGAAACTGCATATTTTTGGGGATCGGGCGGCAAACTAATAACCACTCAGAATAAGAACTTTGTTCCACATATTAAAGATACACGTACTATCCTAGAAAGTGACAATGCCATAAAGAAGAACCTGTACAACTGTACTACTGATAAAAAACAAAGTTAGGTCGTCTATCAGAAAAATTATTTTTCCTTGCCAGTGCTACCCTGTGTTTGCAGGAGTAGACGAAATTTCAAGGTTGTCACTATTTCCTCCTCCCCAGGGTCGATGGCGTCGACTTCTCCTATTCGTCCTCAACTGTGTCCAGCGGAGAGGGGCGGACATGTGCCCAATTTAAAATGGGGGGCAACGTCAGGATTTCGTCCCCCTTTTCTCGGAAGACCAAGCTGGTTGCAGGTAACCCCGTAAGTGGCTCGTCCTGCCCTCTGGAGTACGATACGCTGGTGCTCAGACCGCCGGGTCAGGCTCAGATGGGGCAGTGCGAAGAGGTCGTCCTCGTGTTAAGAGGTAAAACTACGCCCAGTTTCAAAAAAGAATAGCGCTATATCTTTATCTACTTAAAACTGATTCATTAGGGCAGGGAGTGGGTGAGGGATCACGAAGTCGATTTTTGTTTATCTCGTGGAGATTTTCATGAGCGGTTGCATAATGGACCCAGAAAAGAAGATTTTAATACACAATATCCTAGGATCATCATGATCGTTGCCGATTCTTACTTAGATCAATGATACAAGAAGATTTAGCAGTTTTGTTAAACTTCCTGTGTTGAATCATAATTTCAGTGTCTGCAATCACCCAGGAATGCAGGGAACTAAATATACCTACGAAGCAAATGCTAATATCAATGTTGATTGTCTTCTTTTCTTCGTTTTGTAGAAAAAAATCACATATAAGAAATGTTAGGGTGATGCAAGAACGTACATGTATGCAATTCGAAACCTTCCATGATTTCACTTAATATTTCCCATGTTCTTCTTTTAATTCTTACTATCCCGCGCACAACATCTCCAACATCTACACCTTTGGTGTCATGTGTGGCTGCTACTACCTCTCTCTCTCGCACATGCCCTGCCTCCTACAACAATTACCTGCAACAACAATAACCCTGACGACCTCCGACCGAACGTTTAATCTTGAACCAACTACTTATCATGAAACTTAAACAACTCCAGATCCCTCGGCCACCACGGAGCCATCCAAAACCTCTAAACCAATGATTACAACACAGCCAGCTCCGACAACAACTTTAGAACCGGCGACAACCATTCCCCAGACCACACCCACCACCCTTCCCCCTACTCCCCCTCCGACCGGACTTACCGTGTTGACCATGGACGGTTCGACCCAGCAGGCTTTGCTCCCTAACGTACAGGTTCGGATAATCAGACCGGCCATCGAAATTTTCCCCGTGACGACAACGACGATCTCCCCGATTACGAATTCCTCAATGACAAACTCGTCGATGGCGAATTCCTCGATGACGATTTCCTCGATGACGAATTCCTCGATGACGAATACCTCGATGACGGACTCGTCAATGACGAATTCCTCGATGACGAACTCGTCGACAGGGAACTCATCCATGACGAACTCCTCGACGGTGAATGACTCGTTGATCACTGCTTACACCACCGGGGACGGCCTTGCTTTGCTGGATATACCCTTAGACGAGCCCGTCATCGTCGTGGCCTCCAAGGCGGGGTATCTGGAGACATCATTCACCTACTGTTTCCAACCAGGAGTGAGTAAGTATGCACTTTGATAATGAATGGAAACAAACCTTGTGTAACACTATCGTGGATTGACAATCAACGTCATTAGGCTGGTTCCACGATCAGCCAGTGCAATGAAATCTCGATTTCCTTCAAACTCTTACTGAGTGAAAATATAGTAACATTGAAGGTAGCAGAGAGTCCAAAAACCTTGTTAACTTCGCGTTGCGTCAACGGCGCTCTGTTGTCCTTATTTGCTCATGGACGGTCATGATGACTGCGTTTATCATCTAACTCTCTCATCAAAATGACGACTAATTTCTAACGGGCTCTAGCTAATACGGCGATTAGTTGTTTTCCCACTGCAGTGTTTCATACGAACACGGAATGAGAATGCACACATTATGTTGCTTTAGGGAGATGATTAGAAGGTTGTGTCGGCTAACTACGCCCCTTTGTGTCGAGGACGCAAAGAGAGTACTGTTAAAGTGATTGAGGTCGCAATAACGTCCTAATGCCAGATCCCTTAAGTGCTCTAAATAAAATACGGTTCAACAATAGGAATAAGGGATTATTATCTTTGTGGCAAGACAAGGGAAATATTTAGAACAAACCAAAACATAAATCAACAACAGGGCTGACAAAATGGAACCAAACTAACATATACGCAGTATGCCATTCCTTTGATATTAAGTCAAATATTCGATTTCATGTTCTTTCTTTCAGAAAATGTTCTTCCAATCTTGATTCATAAGCACTCGTTCACGGAGCAATTCGTCTGGATGTCTGAGGAGGACCATTCTGTAGAGTTCAGACATCCTGAACACAAAATTCCTTACAGACTCGACATCCCAGCAGGTAAAAAAAGATTCACAAACAATGTTCTAATCGAATTCCAGAAGTTGGCAATCAAATGTGTTCGTACGTCCGCTCTAAATGTAGCAATTTTGTAGCAAATTATTGTTATCGATTTTTTTTTTGTATGTTTTTTTTTTAATTTGTAAAATATTTTGTTGTTGATTATGATTGTTTAGAAATATGAAGTTAAAGAAGAAGAAAAAGATTAAAAGGAAAAAAAACAAGAACATCACACGACAAAGTATGGTATCCAGGCGGGCAAAACATATAACCTTAATATTTTTTTATTTCGCAATGTGCATAACTTACAGGGAGTTTGAACGTCACAGATGGGAGTGTCGTCGAGGTTAGATTCTCCGGTGTGCATACAAGTCATCCAACTGAATTGAAAGAAGTTCCTGAGCTGATTGGTGCAACAGAATCACCAGACGGTGAGCCATTTTTTTTTTTTTTTTTTTTTTTTTTTTTTACTGATACTTCTTTCTTTGTTGAGAAACCGAAGCGAGCGAGCATAAACCTTTGACACGATGGGGGAATCAAAGTGGCGGCGTGTTTTTGTCATCTGATTTCAAGATACACAAACAAATAAAATATACCATCTTCCGGCCGGAATATATAAATGGTGGTTGACCGAATATTGGTTATTTCCACGTAATTACGACCTTTCAGTACCCTACCGCCTCGTAAATAGTTATCAACCAATTAATTGTTGATCGTTATTGTGGTACACGAACATCCTTGCAAATTTTCACAAAAGAGGAGTGAAACAGTACAATATTAGCATTCTTCGTTCAACACGCGGTCACACAGACTGTCACAGATTAAACTCGGGGCAATTTCAATACGCATAGAAGTCATTTCAGAGTACGTAATGTGTGATGGACAGTGCTATTCAAATTGTATTTAATAGGTTTATTTTAGGAAAATCTTTTCCTGATATACCAACATATCTTTTTCTTCTCCTAATCAAGGTATGAAATTGACCGGACTAGAGGCCTTTTCGATGGCCGAAGTGACGGTGGTCAACGCGGAGACCGATGATCTCGTCGACGTCGTGCTGCCATTCAATGCCGTATTTCCTCTCGATAGGAAGCCGAGAGGCGCCCATCATGGAACCAAAATCCCAGCCTGGTACTTTGATAAAATGACAGGTAAGAGTTAAGTAGCTCTGAAAATGAAAAGACAACGCTCTCTTTAGGGGGGGGGGGGGGGGGATCTGGAAAAATATTACGTTTAAACATTTTAAATCATAAAGAAATATGTAAGAGCGCTTCTATGATCCCTATGAACAATCTTTTCAAAATTATTCAGTATCAGATTCAATAGCCAGTTATACTTTCTCAGTCTCTTTTTAAACGCATGCAGTGATTTTATCTACGACAGATCAGCATTTTCCATCCTTGTATCTACGACTACGATAGACCGACATTTTTTCTCGCAGACCTGCGCCCGTTTCATAAAACTTGTTATCAATAACAAGATACAATAATTGTTATAAGCTACTGACATCTTTGCCACAGTTAATTGGCTAAGAGCAGATGCGTCATAGAACTGTGGTACTTGTTATTGACGAAATGTTTTATGAAACAGAGCCCAGTCTATTTTAATAATAATAATAATAATAATAATAATAATAATAATGATAATAATAATAATAATAATAATTATAATAATAATAATAATAATAATAATAGCCTAATAGTCCACTCCAAATTTTATTAAACCGAAACGGAAATTCTTTTTGCCCAATTGATCGTGAGCCCGGCAGCCACTGAGCAGCGCCAGATCGACGTTGCTCTATCCCTTATTGTTGAACGCCAAACAAGGTAGCAACAACTCCCATCTTTTAACGTCTTTTGGTATGACGCGGCCGGGGTTCGAACCCATGACCTCATACATTTCTATACAGTGCGTCCCAGAAAAAACGAAACCGAGAATTATTGATGTTTTATCTTAACTTAATCGCAATCATAAATAATAAATGACACATATTTGTAAAACTTAGATCCTCCTCTTTCATTTGATGCAACTCATATGATGCATATTTCACGCATGAGTGATTAAAATCCAACCAAAAAGTCATTTAGCGGGCGGTATCTGAATTTTAAAGGGATCGTTTAACAATGTTAAATCTGAGATACACGGCCCTACGTGTTATAAGTGTCTGTGATATGGTGTAATATTGAATCCCTAAAAAAATTGCGCTTCAAAATGATCAAGAAGTGCCTCAAAAAAGTAAAAATCTTTGAGTGACCGGTTTTACCATACTCGTTTTCCCCAATAGACTGTAGTGTTATGAAAACCGTCGGGCGAACGGTTTTCAAAATTTGTAATTCCAATCATAAATATCTTGATAATCAGACGGGCGATCGGCTTGTAAAAGTCATGGGGTTCCTGACTGACCTAAAGGTTTATAATTATCATTGCATCATGAGCTAAATCCAGAATTTTGTTTCAGAATCTGAGACAAAGTTACCGGATCCCTTTAAAGTGAAAATCACGTTTCTAGAAGTTCGGTTTCTGCCCTTTCATATGACACCTCAACCAGGAAAAATAATTTTAATTAAACGGGTTCGTTTTCACCGGCTGCCTGCTGTAGCAACAAACGGAATTGACAAAAGAATTAACTCCGTTTCGTTGACGATCAGCCATAGACGAAAGACTTCATGCATGGCTGATTGTCAACGAAACGGAGTAAAGTCTTTTGTCAGTTCCGTTTGTTGCTACGACAGGCAGCCAATGAAAACGAATTCGTTTAATCAACAAAAAAAAGTGACGAGTTATTCTATTAACCTGTCATTAATGAATGAATTACAATACCTGGTCTGCATATATTATTTGTTGCTATGTCGGACAAGCTTCGGGAAAACTTTTAGGTTGGCAAGAACAACCTTTGTTTACAAAATTATATGCATACAAATTTGAATATGGGAGCAAACCGGTCCAATGTGATTCCGTTCTTTATAACGTGTTAAAGATGAAGTTGAGTTCTGGTCATGCGATTGCATTGAAATCAACGGTGTGGAACCGATCAGAAAAGGTTGATCATCTAGCATATAAGAATTTGTGTGTATTGCAAGGTTCTGGAATCATCAAAATGATAAGAAATTTGGCCAAGTCTTGGTAAAGTTACAAACACTTGCACAGAAAGATGTATATGGGACTACAGGAACACGTGGCGTAAAAAGCCGGCCCCCGATTTTTACGATGTTACATGCATATTTAGAATATGAAGGCATTTGAAGAGCCATGCTTTTCAGGGAACATGTCTTAACTGATGTTCTCCCATACTTGCATAATAAGAATGAGTAATGCTCACAAATTATTTTTCACCTCTTCCCAGAACTCAACCTTCTCTTTAACGTTCAGACTTTACTTGTACTTCTTGCACGAAGCAACGAATGACAAGTGTTCTTTGTACATGTAATTAAATCTCCTATAATATTTCCTTTTCTCATGTTTATGTATTCTTTGTATGCAGGCACTTGGAAAGAAGATGGCATCGGTAAGTTGAAGAATAAGGCCGGAGAACTGGTGTGGAGCTTCCAGGCCCGCCATTTCACATGGTGGAGCGCCATCCAACCCTGGCCAGAGACATCCTGTCTGATCATCAAGACGTGCTACGAGAAGAACTGCAAACGGGTCGCCAGTTTCGTCCCTGTCGAGTAAGATATGATGTTTATCATGATGATAATAATAATAGTATGACTTGTTTACCAAGGGTAGCTTCATCAGTATTCATACTGTTCTCATCGAGGGTCCTGCAATCATACAATTAGAAATTCTTCCTACCGGTTACCCATTTACCTCACCTGGGTGGAGTATGGCAAATGTAGATTAATGACAGGGAATAGATACCCAAATAATATTGTGCATATCTTCAAAGATATGGTATGTTTCTTTTTAACAACTTTTAACAAAAATATCTTGAAATATTCTTATGTCTATGTTGTGGTGACGACTACTGTTGACCATCAGAGAAGAAAAAGTACATAAAAGGCACCCTTTAATATCTATTTGGAATAAGTTCCTTTGTTTGTTTGTTTGTTTATGTACAATGTATGAATTGTTTAGGCCAATAATAAGAATGATACAAATATTGATGAACGATAATAGTTATGGATTCTCTTTTTCTTCCTTCCAAGGGTTCATGGCGTCGATTTCTCCTACATCTCGACGAGTGTGACCAGCGGGGAGGGGCAAACCTGCACCCATTTTAAGATGGGCGGTCAGGTCAGGGTTTCATCGCCCTGTTCTAAGAAACCAAAGTTCAGGATTGGCGAACTCGGTGGTACCACGTACTGTCCAGAAAATACTCAGGTGTTGAGGCCGCAAGACCAGACCGAGACTGGGCGATGCGAACAGGTTGTCATCGTAGTCAGAGGTAAGGTGATCCTCACATGGATTAGTCCAGGATCAGGTCGATTTCATTTTAAGCCCCTCTGCACTAGTTGGGCATAGACCTCCCTGCAAGGTCACTGACAGGTGGTTATCTCATCAAATCAGCTCTCAATTAACATAAGAAAAAGGGCATCGTGGGGGATTAACGGGTACCGTTTAGGCATTGTTTACTATATAGAGGGCGCAAGTAGCTAAAATTAGTTCAGTGGGGGACTTAAACAAAAATATACACATCACCGCAATCTCCCCGGACGTTCTGCAAGCCGAAGATGAGTCTAGAATCTGGCCTATTTGATTTTAACGATCTCCACCAACGCAATGCGATCTTTAATCATCTCTTCCTACTATACTTACTTGTTGCCAGCCGAAGATGGCGTGATCCTCGAAGTCGGGCGCCCGGTGAAAACAAATCCTGGACCTGGGCGTACGAGTTCGCTCATAACGCCATCTTTGGCTGGTTGCAGAAACGGCCAGATTCTGGACCAGCCGAAGATGTGTTGTGATCCCCGAATCTATACGCCCCGAGTTCTGTTGCTGTTGCTGTAATAAGTTAATTTGCTATGAAAGCAGAAAAAAAAAAAATAAAGTCATGAATGTTTTAAATATGAAATCACTAAGTTTATACGAATTATTAATTGGAAGTTTGATCAAGGGGTCGTGATTTTCATTCAAACTTTCATCGGTCTACTTCTCAGATTGTTCTGCTTTCCTCTAGATAAGTTTGGATTTCCCTTTAAACACATCTGATTGATACACGTATGTAAAATCGTTATAACACCACCCCCGCCCCAAACACGCACATTCTCAAACCACTAGACTAGCAAGAAGAATGTGGCTATTTATGGAACCTTCTGGTAGATTGCGTTCAATTCAATTTTTTAAAAGTATAACGAGTAGGTTATTCAGATAGAGGAAACATAAATCATCATGTATATTTTTTTCATGCGTATTGATCATCAAGGTTATTTGTAATTGATGTCGTGACTGGTGGCGGGTGTTAATTCCAGCTACTTCCATAGTAGCCCTAGTCTTGGTTGAAATGACCGTAATTGATTTTCTTGATGAAATAATTCACACTCGTTTCTCCAATAGAGGACTGGACGATGCGCTGTAGCGAGCCGGACATTCACACAAAGGCCGACTCCACACAGTTCGGGATGGGTAGCACCACGTTCTTCCAGTGCCTTGGGGGATACAACCTGGTTGGTCAGCCGCAGAGGGCGTGCCTAGCCTGTGGGAAGTGGAGCGGACCTGACCCGATCTGCACGCGCTGAATGAAAACAATTGTGTAAGATATGAGAACAAACTGAGACGTCGAATGTATCACTCTTTTTTTCCTGAGGCAATGAATCCTTAGGGTCAAAACATGTAACCAATTCAGTTCAATTCGATTCGATTCAGTTCAATTAAATTCAATTTACTTCGCTTCAAATCAATTTTATTCAAGGAGAAAAGAGTGACAATCAAACAGATCAAATTTAAACCTTGCCTGATTGTAAACTACCGACAGCTGATTACTTAACAGAAGTATTACTTTTTTCCTGTGGTGTTCGTGATGAAGCTTATGTATTGTGTAGAAGTTCGTAATTAAAGTAGATAATGCATGCTTTAAATAATTGTTGAATGTCAAGCAATGAAACTTTAGGGTCAAAACATGTAACCAATTTAGTCCGATTAAAATCAGTTCAGTCCAATTCAATTAAGTTCAGTTCAATTCAAATCAATTCAATTCTATCAAAGCAATTCAATTCAATTCAAATCAACACAATTTAATTTAATTCAATCCAATGTAATTCAATTAACAGAGTTAATAATGATAATAATAACAACATTTATAATGCGCACATATCCACCCCAAGAGATGCTCAAGGCGCCTAATAAGGTAAGTACATTGAACGAAAATAATTTAACATAATTAAATATAATTCAACAACGTTAATTACATCAGATTGTGAAATACACTACGTCTACAATACACTAAGGAGTTCAGACATTAGATAGGTTATAAGTGATTTTCATACTCTCGGTAAAGGAATATCTAGGGCATGACCCGAAAAGAGAGACACTCAAACTGATAAAATTTAAACCTTGCCTGATTGTAAATGACCGACAGCTGATTACTTTACAGAAGTATAACTATTGTTTCCCGTGATGTTCGTGATGAAACTGACTTATGTATTGTGTATACATTTTGAATTGAAGTATTATATAATGCATGCTTAAATCATTGTTAAATGTCGAGTAATGTAGCTGACTGTTCTACATGTATATATACAAAGTCGCAAGACGTTAAATTGATGCTTATTTGTGTGGTGCTGCTTCTCGTTTTCTGCTAGCGACTGATGTTTGTAGTATTTGCAAGTTGGTTATTTTTGTGTGTATTTAGTTCACTGAGGGCGCGTTCATGCTTGATTTTGACGGCCAGAATCAGGCATCTGTTACGCGTTTAGTTTAAAACACGATTGCGTTCATGCTCACTTTTGTAGAATCACCGAAAAACGGCGATCACGATCGCCGATCGTAAACTCACAAAAAGATGCGTTTACAATTTGTAAACGCGTTTAAATGGGGTCAACGCACTGACCTCTAGTGGGTCTACGTAGCATGCGCACACAGGTTTGCGAATCCAGCTGAAGGCCACCCAAGGAGAATTGCCTGGAGAAGTGAGCATGAACAGTGCACCGTGGAACTGCGATTACGATGAGCGTTTACGATGAGCGTTATAAATCGCTCATTCTGCCTTCAAAATCAAGCATGAACGCGCCCTCAGAACTAAAACAAAGTCAATTAAAGAAGGTACTAATCAAAACTATATTCATCACTAAAGTTGCAATCTAACAGTAAGGTTTTTTAAGGGCCCTTGCCCTAATATCAACTTTGCAGTGTCCAACTTCAAAGTGTAGTATTGTGAAAACTATTGTTGCCATGACAATATACTGCATGATATATTAAAGGTACTATGTCCTATTTGCAGGCCCCCAAAATGATAAGGTTAAATTCCAACGGGATTTGAAAGATAATACTAATTTAGAACTTCCCTAAAAAAAAGGGGCTTGAAAATGTCTCTAAGTGGGAAAATAACGACTATTAATTGTCAAATCTGATTTTCAGACCATTGTACCGAATGGTCGTACGTTTTATGCTGCGCAAAGATTCAATCAGTTTAATTTTGGCAATTACAAGAAGTGGGTTATTGATGTAGACAAATGCTCATGTACCCTTTACAGCTCATTATATGTATGTTAAATACCAAAGAAAAAAAAAGCCAGTCAGTCAATCAATAGTGTTTGACAGTGAAGTCTAGCAAGTAGACAGGTTTTCTTGCATAATTTGAATATTAGGACACTGCTAACGTTTAAATTTCACAGCTAGGACATATATGACATATTCTTAATTCCTGCAAAGTTCTACATAATTTGATGTTGGCTGCAAAAGGGGCATAATTTCTTTAAAACAGAGCAACCCCCCTTTCCAAATATGAGTTGACGTTGCCCGAATACCTGTAATTCAATAATTCCCGGGGTGGAGGCTGCATCCATCAGCCTCCCGACTCGTTTGTCTGTGTAGATGTATTCAGCCAAGCTCACCCTCCAAACTGATATTCGATAGACGGGAATGAGTTATCAACCATCAAATTAGTATGCACGTACATGTAGTGAGAGTGGAGGGTTTTTTAAATTGTAATTTTGTGGTGCTTTAAAAGTGAAAACAAATATGGAATGTGTTTTAGTTTTTTTTAGTTTCTCAATTGTTTCTTTGAATAAATATTGTGTGAAAAACAAAACAATATGGTTTTAATTCATTATTTGAAAGAGTTTTTCAGCAGTGTGGAAAGAACTTACAGATGGAGAGAGAGAGAGAGAGAGAAAGAGAGAGAGAGAGAGAGAGAGAGGGAGAGAGAGAGAGAGAGAGAGAGAGAGGGGGGGGGGGTACGTAACATTCATTTTTTGTTTCATGTCTATGTCATCATTAAGCCATGAAAAATTAGGCTATTTTGATAATGATACCTCATACCCGTCACGCAGTAGCATTTTCACTATCCAGGCCGACAGATTGGAAAAGAAACAGACCCGGTTGAAAATAGAATGGAAATGTTTTCATCAGTACATCAGGGTAGGATGTCCTAGTCTTGATAATTTCATCTTCTGGGATGTCAATCTCCTGGGATCATACCTTGGGGAAGGAGGAGGCAGTGAAGAAGGATATTATTCTATAATGATTGACCCAATTTAGTGCTATAAAAACCGTTGGGAAAACGGTTTTTCAAATTTCTAATTCCAATCATAAATATCTTGATAATCAGACAATCAAGTTCACCGCGAAATCATTCAAGCAACGTCACCTAAGCGGGGCACATTCAGTGTTTTGGGGTTGGTGTGATCACCACACCGTTGATTGGGATCAGCAAAATTGTTTGGGACCAGCAACCTCGATAACTTTGGCCAGTATGACGTCACATGTTGCCCCTGTTTAGGCCTAGAATTCATACATGGAATGAAAATGAAAATTTGAAGAGAATGGATACAGTGATCAGTTAGGTTATGAAAGCTAAATGCAAATAAGAGAGCAAAGAAGCAAAGTGAACGTATTTTTGTGCGAAATATAAATGGGAACGGGAAGTCTGGCCTGTTATATAATAGAAGTCTATATAGTCCACATACTTAAACAAAATTTCAAGTCGTTGCTAAGATACCGAATGTGTTAGCAAAGAGATAATACTAAGATGGAAGAATTGTTGAGTACACTTTAATTTTTAGCCTATGTATTGTTTCACTCAATCATTGAGAAATTATTGTAGATGTATTGAAATTATGGAAATAAAAACTTCGCTTGAGGATAAAAGAAACAAAAATAATACAAGTCTATATTTCCTACACTTGATTCAAGTGGCCGAAGATGGCGTTATCAACGAACTCCTACGCCCACCAGCCCTATGACCCAGGATTTTTTTTAGCCGGGCGTCCTAATTTTAGTATCACGCCACCTTCGACTGGCAGTGAGTAAGTAGGGGAGATTGCATCGCGTTGCTGTGGTGGAGATTAAAAAATTAATTCGGTCAGATTCTGGACTAGGGAACAGCCAAACCAACCTACACACCAAATTAAGACACAAGGCAGTCGAATATGTCTGCTAATACCTGCGTTTAACTTGCCAACCGGAAATAAATTGTTTTTTTTGTTTGTTTGATGTTTTTTCCTGCAATTTTCAACATCATAGAACCTTAGTAGGTCCATGATAGAACGCAAGCGCGTAGCTAGGATTTTATTTTAGGGGGCGGTAGTGAGCACGCAAAGCGTGCGAATCACTAGGGTTGGGTGCACGTGTGGGGGGGGGGGGGAGGGCAGAAGTTTTTACGTTTCATTAAATTATTAGAGAAGGAAGACGATTCGTTGTACCGTTCTTGAAACTTAATCCTTGTCTGAATTTTAACGTATATAATAAATCATATCATATAATATAAATCAATTACATAATTATACCTTTCAAAAAACACAGTTGACAAATCATTTCAAAATTGAAAAACGCAGTAGGCCGAGCTTGAACGTGATGACGTCCTCAGGTAAGGAACCTATAATGGGCGACCAATCCTATGACTAATCAAAAATAAATTAAATTATTATTATTAAATCATTATATTAGATAATCGTGTCCATTGAAACGATAACTTATCCATGATCAGACATGAATTATGAAAATGCCTTAATCCATTGCCTACGGGAAACGAGTGATTCATGTTTTTTTCCCTTTAGATAATAATGAAAATGATAATGATAATAATAATACAACTAATAATACTACTACTAATAATCATCATTATCGTCATCATAAACAACATCATCACCATCAAAATCATAATCATCAACATCATCATCATCATCAACTTATATTAATAATAATAAATTAATGATAATAATTATAATAATAATCATCATCATCATCGTTATCATAATCATCACCATTATCATCATAATCAACGCCATCATCGACTTATAATAATAATAATAATAAAATAATACGTTTATTTTGATGTTATCAAAATAAACCCAATTGTAATAGAATGCAATAGTGTAGGCCGGAAATATGCGGCAAGCCGGTGACTACACACGATAGCGCGCCTCTTTTGTAAAATGATATTGAGGTCAATAACCGAATGTTTCCCAGCAGGTCGGCAAATATCAAACATAGGCGCATCTCTTTGTAACCTACATTGAGGTCACAAAGCCGAATCTTTACCACGCGTGTTTTGTAAATATCAATGATAGGCGCGCTTTTGTAATACATATCGGGGTCGCAAGGCAAGTGTTTCCCACGACGTGTATTTTTACTAATCAATGGGTCATTCTCAGCTAATACTCCGTTTGAGTTGGTCGTGTTTTTCCCTCCCTCCCTCCCCTCAATTCCTTGCTGACTTGTGGACGGGCAGGATTAGGCTCATGATTATTGGGTAGGAGGTTGTCAGGGGGAGGGGGCGGTCCTTTATTGAGAGAATGTATATAGGGAGACCGGAGTGGTACTTGCCCGGACTGGTAGTTCTGCGTATGTCATTGCCTTAGAGTTTGGGCTTGAATAAGTGACACGATGGGGCTGTAGTAGTGGACAAGGTTGATGGTTAATTGGGCTTGTTTTATGATATTGACATCATGTTTGTTTGTTTTGTTTTTTTTGTTTTTTTTGTTTTTTTTTCCTTCGGTTTCTACATCAGATTTGCTAGGTTGCTTTTTGTTGTTTTGTTTTTCTTTTTTTTTTTTGGGGGGGGGGGATTGTCAAATTGATTTATGTTTCATTATTGTTCTTTTAATGGTACACAATCTGTTAATCACTGTGTGATTTTGTTCTTTTAAGGCTACAACATTCATGGAAATCTTGCAGATTGTGGAAAGAAAAAAAAAAAAAAAAAAAAAAAAAAAAAAAAAAGAAAGAAAGAAAGAAATTGGGCTTGTTGTATTGACATGGTTGGTTGGTTGGGCTTGATTAATGACATGGATGGTTGGTTGGGCTTGTTATTGACATGGATGGTTGGTTGGGCTTGCTTATTGACATGGATGGTTGGTTGGGCTTGCTTATTGACATGGATGGTTGGTTGGGCTTGCTTATTGACATGGATGGTTGGTTGGGCTTGATTGTTGACATGGTTGGTTGGTTGGGCTTGTTATTGACATGGATGGTTGGTTGGGCTTGCTTATTGACATGGATGGTTGGTTGGGCTTGCTTATTGACATGGATGGTTGGTTGGGCTCGTTTATTGACATGGATGGTTTGTTGGGCTTGATTATTGTGATGGTTGGTTGGACTACATTATTGACAGGGTCGGCCGGTTTTGGCTTATTGGCTGGAGCTTCTGTTCCGGAAGTCTTAGTATTCCGAAATGAGAGGGTTTTGTTCTTTTGTTTCGTTCCTGAACTATAATCATTTCCAGTATGCCTCAAGGAGAGGAATGGCCAAGAGCGCCATGAACCGACGGTGGGGACAGGCTGCGATTACCAGATCTTGTGTAGGGAACCAATGGCCCAGGAAACTGGGCCTGCTGGGTAGAGCACCGTCTTCCCAGCTGGTCACGTGACCCGTGACCCTCGGGTTCCCATATTTGTGGAATCGCAGCCTGTCGCCTTCCGCCATTGCAAACAAATAATTATGGAAATGGTTTTATATGATTTCATATCTATGTTATGTAATAATATGTCAAGTTGGAAATATGCTACCGCAAAAACTCGAACGGAAATATGTAAATGGTTTTTGTATGATTTTATATCTATGTTAATAGTATGTCAAGTTGGAAATATGCTACCGCTAAAACTCGAACGGAATTATAGAAATGTTTCTATATGATTTCTTATCTATGTTGATAATATGTCAAGTTGGAAATAAGCCAACTCAAACGGAAGAATTAAAAGTTGAGAAAAAGGCAATAACAGCATTTTCATTGTATTTCTTATTGCAATAATGTTCATGTACCCGGGGAAGTCTCATTGGCATCTAGCTTCATTCTCCTTCGAGGCTATAATAATTAAGAGAACAGTCAAGGCAATTTTCATTTCATACAATATTTATTAGTTCAAATATCACTTTAGACTTTCAAAATATACCAAGCATATGATTCGCACAGAGGGTTAGCCAATGGACCCAATGGAACATACATGACCAGAACTTCAAAAGGTATACGCAACATAATAGGGCACAATTTAAAAAAAGTAGCATTCCCATTATCGTTAGTGACTCTAGTAATGATAATATTTTAGTTCGAGCTCAGGAGTCTCGGAAGAGAAACTGATTTTTCTTCTTTGCCTCAACTCCTGGGTCCATAGTCTAATAAACTTTAATCCCCGAAACTGGACTAAAGCTATTGTTCAAAATTAGGTTTACCAAAAGTAGGTTAGTCCGAACTCTAAGTTTCTGTTTGTTAATCGTGAAATTCGTTTGTTCGACATACGTATGAATCGATATGAACCCAGTGTCAGGGGTTAATTTCAATAGGTCACTGACCTATAAGTTCATAGAGACATGCAACTTTCAAACAAACATAAAAATCATCATGAACCATTGTCATAGTAAGGTTGTTACCCCATTCGTTCATGTAAACATAGCCATATCGTGATTCTCAAGCATCCACTGGTCAAATTGGGTTTTACATGTACCTCACGAATACTAGTGCTAATTTATGTCGAATATACTTGAAAATAAACATTGTGTAGTTGTGTAGCACATAGTCCAGGATATAGGTAGCCCAAGCCTACCTGAGAAAAGAGGAAATTCTACCTTTGTCGAAGCTCAGTATGTTATAATCTGGACAGTTTCATTCCGGTTACAATAGGGACTTTACGAATTGCGTGGACGTGGACGTGGACGTGGACGTGTGACTTCCTTTTAAGGCACTGGCAGTCACGTGTGACGTCCTTTTAAGGCACTGGCAGTGCCTTAAAAGGATGTCACATGTTGCAGTCCACGTTCTCGTCGTGCAAATCGAAAAGTCCCAATGCTATGAATGTAGACGGTAGCATTTCAACTTGGAATATTTGGGACTGGAATCTGTTTGCGAGTTTAATCCGACAGGGAGCACGATTATGTAGTTTACAATAGCGAAATCAAAGTGTCCAGATTAGATACTGAAATTACGAATAGTGCATGTGTATTCAGTTTAAATACCCCTGCATAAACACAGCTAAATCAACATAAAAGACAAGATAATTGCTCTTGAAAAAGCAAGCATTTCATGTCAATATCAGAATGCAAGTAATATCAGGTATGGAAAAAATATTAGAACACTCCTTTTATATTCAAAATTTTAAACTTAGTATAGTAGTCTAGCATTATCATAACTATACAGTATTGCTCAGTGATGTACGACTGTTCCTATACTAAACTATCACAATTGCTTTCCTCTCTCCTTCCTAGTTATTTTGAAGCACAGGTTGATAAGCCAAAACTGATATCTTTCAAATAATTATAGGAGAAAATTATATAATATTATTCTTAAAATTGGTAATAGACAGGCATCGTTAGAATTATAGACGTGATATCAAACACAACATAGACTTACATATAGATACTGTCAGTACATACCACATCGAATACATAATTTCACTAAAAAATATATGAAAAAACACATCCTCATCACTAAGCAAGTGGTTACACGAGTTACGCAAAACAGAAATGCAAATATTCCTTCCCAATCAAATTCATGTAAATTCAATGAAATGTACAACGGGAAATGACATTTAATAAAACTAGATCGATTGAACATTTCATCGAGTACTGCTAATGCTTAAAATAACAATATATTAGCTCACAACATATTTGCTCATAATGTATTTATAACTGGCCTAAGATCAATACTAATATCATGCTATGTTTACTAAAAAGATTAATCAAAGTAAACCAAAGGGACCAACGAAATTCCATGACCCCAATCTCCCAACAGTAACGTTATAAGCGTGTCATTGCAGTTAGTTGCCCCCAAAATAAACAAAAAATAAATGTAATAAAACAAGAAAGATATAGTTCAATAAGGCGGCGGTGGTGACAAACGTCATTCAGCATTACTTAAATGCACTCGAACAACAAATGGTTTTAAGCAAATGGTCCTCGAAAGTTACGTCTAAGAGTTGTGATTACAAATACAACCTTCAAGAGTAAAAACTCTAGTTTCAATTGATTTTTAACAAAGTTTTACTGTCCTGTTTCTCCCATTTTTCTTTTTTTTAAATTAAATTATCCATCTACAAAAACGTTACACTGAGGTACACTGTATATAAACTACTCAGTAACAGTATTCCACAGTGCCAGTTAAAATCAATACTGCGTAAGATACATATTTTCAAGAATTTTTCATAATCATAGCGCCAATTTCTAAGTGAATAAAAACTAAATACAGTATAATTATTCACTATTCAAACTATGATGATAAAAATTTAAACACACACATGGACATATAAATCAATTTCGTTCGTCAATTTTATTTTTCATTGACCAGTAATAGCCATTTCATAGTGATTCCGGAATGATCACGAACTCGTGTGCCTATACAAGTACACTGTGTACAATCCCAGTTCAGCCTGCATTACACATCATAAGCCATAAGGGCCGTTCACATCACTTACACCGACTCTTCCAAACTCCGCGGATTGTTTGCTTGCGAGAATGCCCCCTATTTCTTTTCTCCATAATCCGTCCTGCGCCTGCGTGAACATTGTCCATTTGCAATATCGGCATCAAGGCCAACTTTTTCAGTCCCACTGATTCCGTTCGTGTTTTAAAGTGCACGATACGAACTACTAATGTGGGAAATATAAATTAACTAGATCCATTATCAGTAAAAACAAAACCCTGTCATTATGTTTTTTCTAGGGCAGGGCATTAAGTCATTAACCTAGATGGTTAATTTCGGATCACTACAACAGTTTGTCAGCAATTTGAACCAACTGGACAGTGTCCATTCCCGTGTATCCCATCAATCACACACAAACACGAATTGAAAACGCTTTGACATCTCCTAGATCGAATGGTCATTAGCGAAAATGATAGACAGGGATACTCCGTCAAACTACACTTGATTCTAAAAGCTCATTGGGTTCGTAGCCGGTAGCGACGTTACATAATTTTAGATGGGGGTTGTCAGATCAAATTTGCAAATACTTATGCAACCTCCGTCCTCCCCCTCCCGAACAAGGCCTAGTAAGCCTGTAGAGAAGGACCAAATATTCCGAAATTCACCGGGGGTATAAGGGGGCGTTATAATTTGAAAAATTTAGGGACGAACACGAATTAAAAAAGTAACCTAGCTTGAGAAAACTGAAGGGATGCCATTCGGCTACTACCCCGACTATACCATCGCTCAGCTGGTAAAGTATGGTAATCAAGATGTATTTCTGTATCTAGGGTCAAATGTCTTGGGAAAAGAGGCGCAAGCATACCAAACATACTTCGGGGGACCCGGGGAACGTCTGCACGTGTACTAGAATCAATGGTGAGGGGCGTTAACCCATTGCTTACTGGAACCTGGTGGTCCCTGTGTTAGTCTATGGGAAATAGATAATTCAGTAGTCAACGGGTTAAGAGAAGTGCTCACGAAAGATGTCAAATCACAAAGACACTTCGTCAAATTCTGCAAACTTGAGGTTACGAGGATTTAACACTGTGGTGTGTTGCAATAACAATGCTATCTTTGGTTTCATATTTAGCTGACCACATATAATGATTTAGAATATCTTTAAATGGATTTCTCATCGATATTTTCATTTGAAACAATGCAAAACATAAATATCAATGAATGTCCCTTAGGTTAAGATCATAAACCTTTTGGCCTTGTAATGTCAGAAATTGGCGGCGGGTATCCAAATAGGATGTAGTCCTTCGCGTACTTATCCACGACCTGTTTCATGTAGGTAGGGTGGACATTGTTCAGCTGTTGATTTTTCTTCTCATCGGTCGTAGGTTTATACCAGCTCTGTCTCGCCGGAAAATAGGCGTCACTGCTTCCACGGACTTTATTGATGATCAACGTAGCATCCTCCGACAACTGCTCAAAGGATCCGACGAAGTCGTATTTCATGGCGCAGGGTTGACACAACTCATGCATGGGTCGCCAGTGAGGATCCATCCGTCGGGTGTCGCTGTCCACCAGGAAACGCAAGAACTCCTCGAAGGTAATCATTGACTGATCCGAACCTTCAATCAACTTACCAGGTTTGCGGTACTTCTCGATGATCTTCGGACCGTACTTGGCGTTGTACGAACCGATATTTTCCCCGAACTTATTCCTGTACGCCGACAGTAACCTCTCGGTCGGGTCCCGGACGAACATGAACTTGTAGTAGGTCTTGAGCCTGAGCTGGATTTCTTCATCGCTGAAATCGTGGAGGAAGACCAAGTCTTTACGGTGGTCCATCTTCATCGGCGTCTCCAAGTCGGGCACCTTGTTGTTCATGTATTTTATGACACGCTTCCAGTTAGAGCACGCTACTTTAGGCACGAAGCAGTACATAAATTTGTGCGCGTCGTCTACGAGTACTTGAGCGTCAAGAGTCCTTCTTTGCTCGCTGTTCAACAGAGAGAAGTGGTTCAGTTCCTCTACCGCGCACAAGGATTTGATGGTTGTGTTACGGACATTGCGAGTGACCTGTAGAAAGACAAAACAGATATGGAATAATTAATTTCACAGACGATGAACCGCCAAAACTTGATTTCATAGTGTGCCATTAATATTTTCAAGAAGAAAAACGAAAAGCAAGAAGGACACATTTCAAAGATGAGGTGATTCATGAAGAAAAGAAAGGAAGTGGTTTACCTTAGTAAACCATGATCTAAATAAACATTATCATCAAACATAACTCTGTATTTCGAGTGTTATAACACTGGGGATAAAGAAAGAAAGAAAAAAAAACACACCCTGATTTATCGCTAAGAACAAACAATCCTCGACGTTGAAGAAGAAAAAAAACAGAAATCCTGAAGACATAACTCTTCCTTTGTGTGGTTGTTCGAGTTAACCACGTCAGCTGGACTGAAATTGCACTCCAGGGCTTCTAAAGTTTACAAAAAGGTCAAGTTGATAACCCTTTTCTGTTCAGTATCACTTCACAGCTTTCGCTACCGGAGGTAAAAAAGTGAATTAAGCTTATATTCCATACAGACAAGATACATTCTGAAGTGCCTTTTGAAAGACGCTTTCGATTCGGAAGTGGAGACTACGTGACCGTGATCAAGGGATCATGGCAACTATGTCCCTGTATGTATAGAGTTCCAAGAGATTAGACTTTTGAATCATCGGGCACCCTGTATGTTTTCTTCAGATTCTAGGACATGTACACCCCACTCCTCAGACTATGGGAGTATGGGTACTATGAAAAATCAGGTGCACACCCATTGGTCCTGTCTTATAAAGAGTTGCGATTGATATCAATTGCGAATATGTACATTATAGATCGGAGACTGCAAACATGCGATTGGTTGGAGGACTCTTTATAATAAGACGGGGCCCTAGCTGGACTATCTCCCGATGTCTAAGACACTAGCCCGGACAACTACCCTTAAGGTCATTACCCCCACACCATCTTAGATTGACTACATCCCAATTTGCGTAGTTTCTCCTGGATAATTGCTCTAGGGGTGATCGTCTTGAGGGGTGGTTGTCCAGAGGTTAGTTGGGATTGGTGTTCGGAAGATAACTGCCCTTGGGACAGTTGTCCGGGGAGGAATTGGCCTCTATCTTCGGACCATGTCGGGAGCATGGGCATTGGGACATTACAACCAATTCATCTGCAAACCGTCTCGGTTTCAATGGTGAAACTCTGAAGCCATGTATGCAGCGCAAATAGGGCTTGAAACCCCGCATATGATTTGAGCAAGGAGTTATTCCTTGATTTGACGCATTTCTTGACATTCTTTATTTCTGTGGCCAAAGCAATCACAATTCGAGAGAAATGTATCGGAATATTCAATTGTCGATACGGCTTTGTCAAAGGTGAGAGAGGAAAAGAGATTACACAATACGGTACATGCTGTCAAAGTTGAGTCGTAGATAAACTAAACAAACTTGTCTGACTAATGGAGAGAGTCCCGTTGAGGTCATGGAGAGATATGCGGAGAAAAATGCAGCGGCTACGCCACATTGGGGCGTTGATCTATTGTCAGAACCAGATGGTTGGGGAGGGGGTAAACAATTAAAAAAAGTGTAGTCGTTACATTGGTTGTAGTTGAACATTTCAAAGATTACACAATCAATTTTCTCGAGGAGAGGGGGATGGGAGGTGGTGGTGGTGGTGGTGGTGGAAGGGGGGAGGGGGGTATGTGCCCCATCCCTATCCTGTATTAACATCACTGGCGCAACGACGAGAAAGAATGCACCAGGAGAGAAAACATGTTTACATTGTACATGTTCATCTCCGTGATGCTATTCAGGCCTTTATCAGTTTCCCTTTCATTTCATAATAAAAGAGAAAATCTGGATTGAAAAAATAATTGTGTAATTTATTAGACCTCTTATTTCCTTTTTTATTTACAAAATGACAAGAAATGCATTCATGATTTCTCTAATTTTTTGGCAAATCTTAACTGTACGTTGTTTCCTTATGCTTGACGAGAAACTGTATTGGCAACAATAGTTGTATACACTGCCTGTACATTGTACGTGGCCTTCACGTAATACACCGCGCATCACGAACTACGATTGCTGACGGAGACGGCATTATAATCAAAGTGTTTACTACCAACACGATAAGATTAAAAACAGACCTGTCATCTAAACGAGTAGACCAGCCAGGACTTATTCTTATTATCAAACAGTGCCAGGTTTAATAATGTCAAAGAAAATGTAATGTGAACCCCTGGGATACTCCCTCTCTCTCTCTCTCTCTCTCTCTCTCTTTCTCTCCTTTTGCCTCCCCTGGGGCGACGCCATTTATTAAAAACGTAATCTGTATTATTCCAGACAGTAAACACGAATGACGAAGCAAATACTTGTCAGTGCTATTGTTCCGCAGGTATGTTAGTGGCTGATCTCTTGAAGTGCATGACGCTGAAAATGAGACATTTTCAACATTGATATTATTTGCATAATGGTTATGGATAGATGCTTTGTTTACACACTGTAGTCTCAACGGCGTCCATATTGTTCTCTCCTTGAGGGCCCTACAAATACAACCATGTTTTGTTTAGCGTTTTGATATTGTATTAAATGTCTTGACAAAAGAGAATATGTGATTCCATCGACTCTACCATACTATTTGAATATTTGTTATGACAATGAACGATACTGTGGTACGTTATTTTATGTAGCGTCACATGGCAATAACATCGTAAAAAAATGATCATCAGTACCGGGTTAAATTATTTTAATAAAGAAAAGTGAACTTGAACCTAGGGCAATACTCTCTCTCTCTCTCTCTCTCTTTCTTCGTCGGCTCTACATAATCATCAAGGAACCATCCCGATTCTCCGTCCAACATATACATGTACGTGTCAACTTGTCAAGATCAAGTTCCCATCTTTTCTGCGTCCCAAATGCCCCCTCCTTCTTCGCAAGACATCTCTGGATACCTCCAGAGACCCTTTCAGCTGTTGGCTGGAATGTTGACGAGAGCAGACATTAGTAAAGTGATATCTGGTCGGAGGGGTCAAAGCTCGATAACTCGCGTATGTTTCATCTCAGCTTATGCCAGCTGTATCTCCGATATATAATCTATGTAGTAGTGATGGATATTCCAATAGTACTCCGATATCTCTTGGAGTCTTGCACATCCATCATTCCTATACCATGTCTCTGATCATTGTCCTCAGCTGCCCGGTTTATATTTCTCAATGAATCATCCCTATTTAGGCAAGCCAAATAGATCGGCTTGTCATCTGTGAGTTCGGGGACATTCTCTGAACGGGTTCTTTACTTTACTTGTCCCATGGACATGCTTGTCCCAGTGGACTTGTTCATCCTGAAATATGGCAATGCTAAGCCATGGTGATTTTAGGGCAAGGCGCCATTAAAGTCAAAGCGGGCGCCACGACGCACGCATTTTACGTACGCGTTGTTAAAAAAAAATACGAACAAACGAATGTAACAACAAAAACAACAACAAAAACACAACAATGATGGTAAGGAAAGCCTACAAAGATAATCTTTCGAATTGGACAGTGGATACGCTTCTGGCTCTTGTATTGTAGGTCGAAAGGAAGACGCAAAAAGGATGCCAAAAGCGGCCCCCAACAAGAAAAATTCCTCTGTGTGGCCATGCCTTGAACAATAATGCATGGCCCTAAAGAGGAATTTTTCCTGTTGGGGGCCGGGGGAAAATGCAATGAATTTTTGACAATTTATTGCATTTTCTTCGTTTTGGGGGATTTGTGGAAGGGGCCGCGTACCCTAGCAAACACTGCGTACAGTCATGATTCAGGGGCTAAGCAATGGCCTCGTTACTGTGAGGCCCCAGGATAAAAATCGTGTCGATCAGCTATATATTAGTGCCCTTTTGTGAGGCATTAATCCTCATTACTGTCAGTTACGACTTAAGGACGTAGGTCCCTTAGCTGATTAGCATAGTAGCACACATATGATTAAGCAGTCACGCAAAACAAACACTCGCAAATTAATTTTCAATAAAATCTGAGAATGTATGCCATTATCTAGATCTATTAGAAATAAATAATTTTTGAAAATCCTTCCCTAAACTGGGGTAAAAATAAATATTCCACCATTATGACCAACAGTGTACATACCAAGGAAAGTGGACCCAATCACAGATTGACAATAACTTTTCTATTAATGCGTGCAATATCAGTCCACCCCCTCCCAAACAAAACAAAAAAGTTCATGGCATGCACTGTTTGGGAGGGGGTGGATTGATATTCAATGGAAAAAAGGGTTAACGCTTAGTTAGCAAGCACAGGCTCTAATTTGGCACTTTGACCACAATTGCTAAATCCTTTAGTGGAGCCTGTATTTGCAGTATCTGGCTGTGTCAAACAAGGGTAAGACAGAGCCTAGTGTAGTCCTATAGTGCAGAAATTGTTTCGCACAACGATTGGCAAGGGGTTGTGCCTGCAAAGTGCAAACTAGTAAACACCCGGGAGTTGTGGAGTTGTGAGGGAGGGGGGGGGGGGGGGGGGAGGGGATTGGAGACGGCCCATAACGACGTGTCATATTCGTGAAATGTAAAGGACAAAAGCACAGCGGTAATACAAGATGACAGACAACATCTCAAACCCAGTATCGCCCTCCACGCTCATAGTCCTAGTAAAGCCATTACACGATGTAGGAACAGTTACAGCCTGATATCAAGTTGGTTGTAATAGAAGCAGAACTATGAGAGAAACGTGTGAATGATAGTTTAAGCAAAAACTGATTAAATATAAAAAAAAAAAAGTTAAGAATTTTTGCACGTGCAATCAATCAAACACGAATTGGCCACTCTGTGACGTATCGTTCGAGCTCCCCTCCCACTTTTCGTGTACACGTCAACGTCTATATTTCGCCTCAGAAAATTTGGCTCAAATTTCACTTAAATATTTGTTTCTTTCATTTTCTTGCTTTAATTGAATTGATTTGGAGTCTTAAAATGATAAGAAATAGACTGAGCCTTGCTAAAATTGAAATGCACTGCATTATACAGCAATGTGTATTATGGGACT